ACTTGACCCGACCCGGCATGGTCCATTTGGGTTGCATGGCATCATGCACTTGGATAGACTATAATGAGAGAAATAAGACACTTATGGTTATTAATATATTATAAGTTCTAGTATATTAATAATAAGAATAATAAGATTATTTAATTAGTATTGATCAAGAATTAATCTAGGATTAATTAAGTGATCAAAAGAATACTAATTAAATATATGGGTTGATTGTGTAAATCATCCATACTTGTATAGTGGGCTAATGCTCCATGGATTATCTAGTTGGGCCAAAACCCATATGATGCTCAATGGATGCTCCATGGTGTATTTGAACCCATGGATCCAAGGAAATGGAAAGTCATGAAAATTAGGGTTTGCCCTAATTGTAACACTATATAAAGATCTTATTCTTGACAAAATCGGCACTAGTATTATTCTAGAGAGGGCTAGCCGATTTTCATGAAGTGTAGAATTCTCTCAAGTTATTCCAAGTGTATTTGGTGTTGTGTGAACCATTTGAGGTGTCACACTTGGGGCACTAGGCACTCAAGCTTCATGAAGACAAGCACTAACAAAAGATATGTTATTCTAACTTGTGTTATTCAACATTTAGTATGCTAGAATAGAACAATACCTTGGAAAGTTGATATTTGCATGTATAATAGAGAAAACATAGATCCAAGGTATTTAGGGTTGCATGTACACCTAGGAGTGTTAGAATGCTCAAAACCCAACAGGAACAAGAAGTGAAGATTATTTTTCAACATTCAATCTTTCAACCCCATAAGCAAGGTGAAGTTGTACTTGAAGTTATGTGACAGATTGATTGAAGCCTCCTCAATCAATTTGCTACTATCTATGAACCTGCTGAAGTGATCCAAAAGAATCATTCTCTCTATTATTTTATCTCTGAAGTATTTCTAAGCTGAAAGTGCTGTTTTTCAAGAACCTTTACAAGAAGCCTCTACATCCAATATGCGTTCAAGGTCAAATATTTAAAGGAAGTCCAACTGTTCAAGATAAAGTCATTCATGTAGAAATTCATATGTTCATCTTGAATTTCTGAAGAAATCGAAGATAAAAGCTAAAGTCAAGAATGAAGAGAATATTGAAAAGAAAAGAAAGCTACAAACCCAGGGGGAGATTATTAGGACATAAGAAAAGAAAGCTATAAATCAAGGGGGAGATTGTTAGGTCATAAATTGTGGTTTATACTTTTCTTTTCATATGCTATTAAAGTTCTCGGTGTAGGACCGAAAACACCATGTTTTGGTGTTGTTTAGACCGAATTCACGTGTGATTTTGATTAGGCTTAATATTGTCTTGTTTGGGTTTTGGGTTAAGTTTGGTTATTAGGTCTAGGTATAAATAGTGTTATTTTAGCCTTGTAATGAGAGGGGGGCGTTTTTGGGGGTTGCCATAAGCAAAGAACACGTTCAAGAGTGAAATAGAGAAAAAACCAAGCGTAATCAAGAATCTTATGTACCCTGACTATTCATCTATAATAGTGTGCATTGAAGATTAATCATCTTGTTCTTATTCCATATTATATCTTGCATCATTCACTTGATTGGGATTCCGCACCATCATAGTGAAATCCGATTGATACGTAGCGATTTGGGGACTTACAATTCCCTCACTCGTTCGTTCTTGTGGTAACATGAGAAGTAAGTGGGTAATAACCTTAGTTAAACGTTCTTGCTTCCCGATCGCATTATACGCCTCAAACCTAAAACATATATATATATATATATATATATATATACACACACACACACACACATATATTATACATCAAAGTTAGCCATTCATTAGTGTTGCGGCACAAGAGAAGCACAAAGGAGAAACGAAAGTGGATGTATGTTATGAGAATTCCTAAATGTGGATGTAGAGAGTAAGAGTTGCGTTAAATTCTCTAGGACCAGTAAAAGACGGATGGCCATGAACACTCAATGTCATGTGGCTGATTTGATGACGATATGCAGTCAAAGTAGAGAGGGAAACATATGTGTTGGAGCGCTTGAACAACTTACATCCTAATTGATGGATTCATAGTTATGTGTTTTTTTATTATCGTATTTAGATACAAATTGATCGAATAAGGGAATGAAAGAGAGTACAACTGGTGTGAACTCGTACGATGGTGAATGATTTCCGATGATCATGTTCTACATAATTCGGAAACAATGAAGTTAACAGAATGTGCTCTAAAAAAAACAATAATGATATTTTTTTGAACATTTTGGAAACTTTAATGATATTTTTTGTACTAAAATGGGTACCTTGTTGGTATTTTGTGTACAAATGGTATAGTTCAATGGTATTTTTTGTACTAAAAATTAATAGTATTTTTTGAACATTTTAGAAACTCCATTACCCTTTTAAATCATTTTTCTGTTTACCTGAGATAACCGATTAGCACAAGGTTTTATTTGAACACATATGTATTTCGTTGATATTCTATATACCAAAAATATACTTTAATGGTATATTGTGTACTCCAAAGAAAACAATAGTCTTTTTTGTATATTTTAGAAACTACGTTCTCTAAATTATAATGTTCTTTATTCTTAGGGGTGTAAAATGAAACATACAATTGGTACTAGAGAAAATGTTGGGAATTAACTAAAATAAAAAAGAAACAAAAAATGGCAGTGGCGGTAAAGGCAACAGCTATCCTTCAGCGACAACCACCAGTTCCGACACTTACACAACGCCGTGCGGCGAACTTGCTTAATGTTCGCCGGAAAATCATCGGTGGAAGTTCTTTCCACGGAATCGATCTGAGTAAGAGTTATTCTATCACATCGGCTTCTGGAATTTGCAGGAGTACAAGCACGAGTGCTACCAGCGATGAGATAAGAGACGATGAAGTTTTGCCAATTACGCCGTTGGAAGTGAATCAAATCAAAGATAGGTGCAGTAAGTGGGAGTGGAGAGGCTACACTATTAATTACTTGAAATATGAAGGACAAAATTGTCAGAAATCAAACCCTCCGCTGCTTCTTGTTCATGGTTTTGGTGCCTCTGTTGCTCATTGGCGCAGGTATTTGACGGATTTTCTCTTATTCTGATGTATGAATGTTCGATAATCATGTGTATTTGGTATTTCCATTTCATCTATGGAAATGGGGCTACCGTTATCTTAAACTCCATATTCATAGTGTGGGTTCTTAACATTATGGAAGAAATCGATATCTAGATGAGACTTGATAACTAGTTCTACAATTTGAAATCTGGTTTGATTAGCTAGTAAGTGATTAATGAAATTCCTAAATTGATGTCTTGGTTTCCTATGGTAAGTAGTTAAAGTTGCAATTCTCCCCTACTGGCTGCTTTAGCAAATGGTTGAACTTGTCTTTTAAAGTTTGAGATTCTACCAGGAATATCCCAACTTTGGGTCAGACCAATACAGTTTATGCCATTGATCTTCTTGGTTTTGGTGCTTCAGACAAGCCTGCTGGCTTCGAATACACCATGGAAGCATGGGCAGAGGTATATGTTTAATTGGTTGAAGTTTGGTTATTGTTGTATTTACAAGATTCAATCTTATGCACCACCTACTACTAATCATAACAGTTGATATTGGATTTCGTGGATGAAATTGTTCAAAGGCCTACAGTGTTGATTGGGAACTCTGTTGGAAGTCTTGCTTGTGTTATTGCTGCTGCAGGTGTGTTGTGTGTTTTTTATGTACTTTTAGGGCCCATTTGTTACACAGTGAAGACAAAATATAACATTTTGCACTGTGTTTGGACTGGATTGATGTCCGATGCATTCATAAGGGAAAAAAATGAAAGTGGATTGTTATAATAGAAAGAAATGAAATTACAATGCTTTAAAATACTAATAAATAAAAGTTGCTATTTCTTCACCTGCATTCCATTTTGTTGAAGTAGATGGTCAGCAGTCACAGGTTGAAGGGCTTGTTTTGCTCAACTGTTCGGGTGGCATGAACAATAAGGCGATAGTTGATGATTGGCGAATTAAGCTTATATTTCCTTTATTATTGTTAATTGATTTCTTGTTGAAGCAAAAGGGAATTGCATCATTCTTCTTTGAACGTGTCAGGCAAAGGTTCTCTATTTTCTTGCTTCATGGATCTGCCATTCTCGGGAATATTACTCCTTTTTTTTAACATAAGTTATTGTGCATTTTATTCAGAGAGAGTCTTAGAAACATCCTATCATCAGTTTATGGAAACAAGGACTCTGTGGATGAAGATCTCATACAGGTATTATTTACTTAATGCAGAAACAACACTTTTCTTTATCCCATCTTTGCAATCCTTTTCCTTTTTTCCTCTTTGGTATATGATTGAGTCGTGAAAAGGATGAAAAATGGTTCATTCCGATGATACAAAGTTGTTTGTGTTTTTTTTGCTAAAATGAACTAGAAAAATATGCTTCTATTACACGATGCTATTTGAGTTTTAAAAACATCTGGTTAACTTTTTCTATTTTTTAATAAAAGATTAAGTGGTGATAATTAAATGTTAACTTGCAACAGATAATCAGGGAACCAGCACTTGATGAAGGGGCACTGGATGCGTTTGTGTCGATTGTGACAGGGCCACCTGGGCCAAGCCCGGTCCAATTGATGCCAAAAATTAAACTGCCGGTCCTGATTTTATGGGGCAATGAAGATCCGTTTACACCTCTTGATGGGCCGGTTGGTAGATACTTTTCATCATTACCATCTCAAGTTGAAAATGTTAGTCTTTATGTATTAGAAGGTGTAGGACATTGCCCTCATGACGATAGACCAAATTTGGTCCATGAGAAGCTTGTCCCATGGCTTGCTACTCTTCCTTCTTCATAGAAACTTTCTTTGGATTCCTTTCTTTTAACTTTGCATTTGTAAGTATTTATACGTGTGTGTATAAATGCATCAATTTGTATATCAAGCTTGTATTATATGAGGAACAGAACTCCACGAGAAATTAATAATTATGAAAACAAACACGGCCAACCCTCAAAAGGTAACAAAATACATTTATGTTATGGGCATCCAAATATAATCATAAAATGTCGAGAAAATGTAATAATGTATTAGCACCACACCATGACACGTCATGTAGTGTCCGTTGATTCCTTTTCAGCTTTAAACATCTACAACAATTGTTTCAAATCAATAAGTACAAGTGAGTGTACAAGTACAACAATGAACAAAGGGAAGGGAATGGGGACCATTTCATTTTCATCATTATCTTGTTTGTTCCTATGCGATGCATGCCTATACTATGCTTTTAAAAGCTCTCTCAGTCAACTTTTTCATTTGGTTCATCAAATAGACTTCAAAATTGTTCAGATCACAATATGATACATACAACTTGCACTTGGGAGTTGGAAAACAAGCGAGATGCCTTGCCTCCTTGCCTGCTGATAAGCATTTTTTTTTAATTAATATATATATATATTTACAAGTTTACCCTCCTCAGCTGCCATCAGCAACTTCGGCCGCACGCTGCCTCATCATCTCCATTACAGCGGCCCTCCGCCGGCTATCAGACTGTTGTTGCAGTCTTCTCAAATGTTCCTTCAGATCTCTGTAATGTGGAATCAAATCAACGCATTATATATATATATATATATATATATATATATATATATATATATATATATATATATATATATATTATATAGCAACCTACTTTACTAATTGCAGGGAATAGCAATCTACTTTACTCACACTATCAATATCAACAATGTACTTAAATTGTCCACCCATAATACCAGCCTACATGCACATTATTTGTGGATAATAGCAATGTACTTTGTTATTCGACATAATTATAGTTTTTTTACCCATAATAGCACTTTATTTGTGGATAACAAACAGCAATGTACTTTGCAATTATGATATTTTACCCATAACAACTTAACAAGACTTTTGGTGGATAATAGCAATGTACTTTCTTATTATACATAATATCGACATAGTTATATTTCTTTACTCATAATGACAACATACTTACATTTTGCTACCACAATACTAACATTATTTTTTTTACATATTGATATTATCATTATAAAGGGTAAAAAACTGTAGGTACATTGCTATAGAATATTAAAAGAAATGTAAGTAAGTTGCTATTATACAACATACTTAGTTACTTACATATCAATACCAATATGGCAATATGGGTAATATACTTTAATTTGCAACTATCGATACATAAATGCTTAAACATTGTTATAATGGGTAGAGAATTGCTATTATATTATAGGATTAGGAAACATATTATGGGTTACATTTACATACAGCTATTGCCTATTGTCGGTAATAAAATGCAAGTAGTACATACCTATTAATAGGTTTACTCTTGCTACCAATATGGACAACATGCTTCATTTTCCACCCATAATACAAATACTAATACTTATTATTTATCCATAACAGCAACAAACTTATATTTCCTTACCCACCCCACCCACAATAGCAACATGATTACAGTTTGCCACCAATATTGGTAATATATATTAATATTATCCGTAAAATCAATCGCCTACCAATATTGGTAAAAAGATTAAAGTTGGTTGCAATTTACATCAACTAAGTTGTACTAGTGTAAGCAATTTTGGAAATGCTGTAACGAAGAGGGGGAGATGGAGAAAGATAAAGATAAAGATAAAGAATTAGAAACCTGCAGCGGGGTACATGACATTGAGATTCTTTACATGCTCGGGCATGGAGTTGAAGAAGATACCACATTTTCTTACAAAGAACACACCCACCAGAGGCACGTACTTTGCACTGTATCCCATGTCGGAAAAGTCCCTTCACCTTCCGACAATTCGGGGTACTGACAAAGCGGAGACCGACACTGAGACGCATGTACAAGCAGATCAAGCATTTTCCTAAGCTGCAATGCAGTAAAATAAATAATCATACATCCACAACAAAAGATTAGTAAGTAAGTAGATGGTATTGGTATAAGGAGATTATATTTATATTATAATTTTATACCTGAACAACTCGTAGTTGTCGGGCTTCTTTATTTTGTGCATCACGTTCAGCAATGGATGGATGAGTTGTCAACTTATGAGGATGATCGACACCTCCATCTTTGTAATAGCAAGCATTGCAGACGTCAAATTCGGGGCAAATCTCACAGCGCCAACCTTGACCTGTTTCAATGTCGTTATGACATCGGTTGCATGTCATTACGAATGCAGGAGCGGTTGGATTGTGAAGATGGTATAACACCATCATTGAGGAATGTTTTGCACGACGAAGGGTGTCGTATTGGTAATGGTTTCCTTGGCACAGGCTCAGAAAAGCTTGTCGGGTGTCGAAAAATTCGCTTTCCAGAATCTCGTCTTTATCTTTTGTATCTGCTGACACGTCATCGATTTCAATCTGCACGACACAACCGGAACGGAATTTCTTAAATCATACATATATTTTATTTAATGGCAACACAATTAGCTTTTTCACCATTGTGTGTTGTTTTTAATTACTATCCAAGGTAAGCAACTGGAACCTTTTGTTCATAAAACACCATTAAAATAAGGGTATTTTTATCAACAGAAAAACGATCTACTTGGTTGTCTTCTGATGCTACTTCTTTAAAACAATTTGAACATCAGAAATACTGTTACCCGCGTTTTTTTTTTTTTCGTCTTTCAACAAAAAAAAAAAAGGAAGAATGAAATTGAGAATTCCTTCCACTCCCTCAGGAAAGAAGAAATCCATTCTGTCCATTTACCATAGAATTGAATCTCAAATTTGAATTCCGTTCGAATCCACAAACCAAAGACATCTTTTATAATAAGGGAAAATGGCAGCCAGTAACACAAAATTTACTCATTAGGTCACTCAAGTTTTGATTGCATTTGCACCCAATAAGGAAACAAACATTCAATTTGGTTTTAAAATACCAATTTTAACCAGTCACATGTGACACCCTGTTTGTTATGCAGGATACTGCATTTGGCAGGGAATAGAACTGGACAAAATTTGCGTTTTTTTTGTCCCACCCAAAGACTTGTTCTTAATCTTTTGCACATGCCCTCCTCGTAAAAAATAACTCTAGAAGGAGAAACTTACAGGATAAAGAGGATGTTTCTCCCTATGATGAATAGGATGTCTCTCCCTATCCTCGAGTGTTTGTTCAATTTCATAACACCTGTAAGTCATAATCACAACCAAAACATTACATACATTTTAAAAACAAAAACAAACTCCCATTATGTATTTATGGAGAAATATTAGGGTTTAGGTGTTTATGGATTAGGATTGAAATGTTAGGAAATTCTATAAATATATGGGGTAATCAGGAACTAAGGATTGAACTGTTTGTTGATTTTCTGTTCATGATTACTATATTTCTGTCTTATCATTCACTCTTTCTATTTTCACATACTCCCTCATCATCCACAAATAATAAATAACTGATAAAAGTCCAAGTTTCAAGCTGACCACAATGCTAACTTCATATATATCTTATTCATTTTATTTATTAATGAAAAGCTGGCATGGCATATATTGTCTTTGTCA